AAAAAAAAAAAAAAAAATCCGTTGAGAAAACTGTCAACCTCGGTTGTCCGCTGGCGAGTGCATGAAAGGGTTTCGTCCCCTGCTTATTCGACAAAACAAAATCTCTTTTGAAACCACTCGTTTTTCACTAGATAGAAGAAGCCCAATCTGAAGTTGCTTCACAAAATAAACGATTTATTTATATGTATTCATATTTTTTTTTTGTTAGTCGAATAGGCTTATCTATTTTAAAATTTCTAGTTCACAGAAACACACAAAATAGACATGGATATTGTATGTTAAAATGAGGATGAATTGATGTTTGGTGAATCTTTCATTTGTTTATTCACAAAGTACAATGGAACCCCGTTATTAGGCGATTAATTGGGGGGGGGGGCATATTTTGAATGACGTTAAAAGCAAGGTCAAGGTGTTTTACAATACTTTGTGCGAACAGTGTTAGTAATTTTTAAGTACTAAGATAGAGTGTTTTTTTTTTTAATTTACATTTTTTGTTTTGTTAAACTGATATATATTATATATTGCCCTATGTGGTATTGGGCTAATTCGAGTTAATTTGTGATCGTGTTGTACGAGCCTAAATATCTTTTTTTTTTTCCTCGCAATTTCACACACACACGCACACTCACACACAAGCACACACATACATACGCACACACACGCACGCACACGCAAATAACAATAATCGTGTGCCAATAAATATATGAAATGTTATGAGCCATCCCAAGACTGCATTAAAGCATGGCTCGTTATAGCAATGGCTCGTTATAACAATGGCTCGTTATAGCAATGGTTCGTTATAGCAGTGGCTCGTTATAACAATGGCTCGTTATAGCAATGGCTCGTTATAGCAATGGCTCGTTATAGCAATGGCTCGTTATAGCAATGGCTCGTTATAGCAGTGGTTCGTTATAGCAATGGCTCGTTATAGCAATGGCTCGTTATAGCAGTGGCTCGTTATAGCAATGGCTCGTTATAGCAATGGCTCGTTATAGCAATGGCTCGTTATAGCAATGGCTCGTTATAGCAGTGGCTCGTTATAGCAGTGGCTCGTTATAGCAGGGCTCGTTATAGCAATGGCTCGTTATAGCAATGGCTCGTTATAGCAATGGCTCGTTATAGCAATGGCTCGTTATAGCAGTGGCTCGTTATAGCAATGACTCGTTATAGCAATGGCTCGTTATAGCAGTGGCTCGTTATAGAAATGGCTCGTTATAGAAATGGCTCGTTATAGCAGGGCTCGTTATAGCAATGGCTCGCTATAGCAAGGTTCCAATTTACTAAGGGAACAAAAATCAGCAATTTGAAAATATTACTTTGATTCCCATAAAGTCACGGGGCAGCTTATGCTGAACTAAAAAAAAATTAAGCCCACTCATAAATTAAATGTTGTCTTTTAATATTAATTTTTTTTTTTTTTTAAATTCTTGAAACATCACTTTTGAAATGACCGTCGACGAAAACCCCCGACGGCGAAGTGGCCTGATGGCGAAACGGCGGCGGCGAAGAGCTATCGGCGAAGTGGTGCCAGAGAATCGTCATAGATCCCTCTCCAATGCTCCAGATGATTTTTTGTCAAGTGTAGTAGCCAGTGCTACCACTCAATTTTTTTTTAAATTCCCAAGATTTTGTCAAAATATTTCCCAAGATTTCCCAAATTCATTAAAATATATAAGAGTTGTTTTTTTTTTTAATCTTGGGAATTTTAAAAGAAAAGTGAGTTTTGGTCTTGAATGTGCTGCCCACAGATACTACTTACCAGCTAAGTGCTATTTCTTATTTTTATAACGTTTTTTCTGTTGTTTTGTTCGCTGACGAAGGCTTTCTGCCGACACGTTCGCTGTTTTGTTGAGTTTAATTTTTCAGGTT